GTCTTTCACTATTAAATATAATACCAACAGTATATTGTCAAAATTTTGAATATTTACTAATCAGATGGTTGAGAAATGGGTAACTTTAATTTGCATTTTTCTTATTAGGATCAAAGGTGAGCATATTTTCATATGACTAAGAGCCATTTGCAATTCTTTTTTCTATAAAAGATTGGTTTATCTCTGAGAGATAATAGGTTTTACCTGTTTCTAAGCTTGTTAGTCTTCTCTATTTTTAGAAGCCTTTTATACACTCTAACTATAACCCTTTGTGACATAAGCTGAAAAAAATGTTTTTGCAATTTCTTATTGTTATTTTACTGTGCTCATGCAAAGTATACTTTCCTTTGCCATGAAAATGTTTTGTTTTTAATGTAACCAAATACATCAATCGTTTTCCTTATTGCTTCCAGATATGGGATCATAGGAAATTTTTCCTTCCTCTCAGGGTATAAAGTAAAGTAAGTTTTCTCCTAGTTCATGTGTTTACATTGAGTCCTTGATCTCGTTAGAATTTATCCCAGTGTGACAGTATAAAGAAGTGATCGGAAATTATCTTTTTTTCCTTTTCACTATGTAGTGATCTCAACACCACTTAATCAAAAGTGGATTTAAGACACCAAAGAAAGACACCTTTTAAGGACTAAAGATTTATTAAATCAGGAAGGTAAAATAAACCATTATAACAGACACATGATAACCATTCTAAATTTGTATATAACACAGCCTCAAAATAGATAAAAATTGACAGAACTGAAGTTGGAAAATCTACAATCATCTTGGGAGACTTTATCAGACTTCTTTCAGTCACTAATAGTGCAAGAAAACAAACAAAAAAAAACCAGTAACAATACAGACGATTTGAGCTAACCGGCACATACAGAACACTGGCACCAAGAATGGCAGAATTCACAATCTTTTCAAGTACACATTAAAGGTTCATAAAAAGGCTGTATGTTGGGCCATGAAATAAGCCCCAAAAACTTTCAGAGAATGTTCTTTGACCACAGTGCAATTAAGCTAGAAATAGTTGACAAAAATAACAGTCACTGTAAGTTTGGAAATTAGGAAATACACTTCCCAATAATATCTGGGTAAAAGAAATCACATGATTTTAGAGAATATTTTGAATATAATAATACTACATATTAAAATCTGGGGAAAACAGCTAAAAAACATGCTTAGAGGGATAATGATAGCCTTAAATACATATATTAAAAAAAAACAAAGAAGGGCAAAAATCAGTGAGCTAATCTTCCAAGAACTCAGGAATTCTCCAATTAAAGAAGTTAAGAAAGAACATCAACTTAAACCCAAAAAACAAGAGGAAAGTAAATATAAACATAGAAACCAATGAAAAGAAAAGTCAGCATAAAAGCTAGAGGACTAAGTAGGTTAAATATTCATTCTCTGGAGTGATTTACAACACTGTGAAGCCCTGGCAAGACAAAAACAGAAAATAGTAAGAGTGAACACAGACGAGGAGGTACAAATAACCAATTTCAGGAATGAAAAACAGATCGTTATCTAGTAGATATTGTAAAATCCTAAGAAAGTATGAATAACTTTTTGCCAATAAACTTGAAAATGTAGACAAAAATGAACAAATTCATTAAAAAATACAATTTATCAAAACTGATACAAGAAATACTCAGAACAGTCCCATAAATATTAAGGCAACTGAGTCCATAATTTAAACTTTTCCTAAAATAAAAAAAAACTCTAGACCAAATGGTATAACTAAAGAATTCTACCTCATAGTTAGGGAAAAAATAATTCTAAGCTTCAACAAACTCTTCCAGAGAACAAAAAAAGAAGAAACACTTCCCAATTCATTTTCTTAGGGCAGAATACCCTTGATACCAAAACTTGACAAGAACATTACAAAAAAAAAAAAAAAAGAAGAAATTACATGGCGATCTCACTTATGACCACAGATGGGAAAATGTGTTTACCCTAGGAACACAGTTTAATGTTCAAAAAGCAACCAATGTTTCCTACTATAGTAACAGAATGAAAGAAATCAAACTGTCTTCTTAATATATACAAAAAGAGCATCTGATAAAATTCAACATCCATTCATGATAAAAGCTCGTAGAAAACAGGCATACACGGGAATGTGACCAGATGAAGGGCATCTATGCCCAAGCATGACACTGAACAGTGAGCAGGTGAAACTTTCCCTGAGGTCAGGAATGAGATGTGCTTGGTCACTACTGACACTTCTACTCAATGCTGTCCTAGTGACTGTCCTCGCCAGTATGAAAAGGCAAGAAAAAGAAAAAAAAGGCCCAAAGATTGAAAAGGAAAAATTAAATTTTCCTTATTCATGAGTGACATGATTGCATACATAGAAAATCAAAAAGAATCTAAAAAGTTATTTGAATAAGTGAGTTTAGCATGATTGCTGGATACTAGGTCAATTTACTAAAATCAACTGCACTCTTATTAGCAAGTAATAGAAAACCGTAACAGAAAGTTACCATTTACAATAACAAAAAAAAAAAAAATCAACTCCCTAGGAATAAATCTAGCAGAGACGTGCAAAATATTGCACACAAAACTATAAAATATTATGGGAGAAACTCAAGAAGACCTAAATATTAAAATAAGGAAGAACTAAATAATTGTCCTATGGCAGTATAGGCTAAACCTATTATTGGCAACAGGATAAATTAGTGAAACAGAATACAATCTAGAAACAGATCGATCCATCCAGAGACTTATGACATAGTGACACTGCAGGGTAGGGAAGAAAGGCAGTCCTCATAATAAATAATGCTGGAGCATTTGAATATCCACGTGGGAAAAAAAAGCAAAACAACCCCTACCTTACAACTTTCAGAAAAATGAATTCTATGTGGATTATAGATCTCATGTGAAAGCAATACAACTTTTAGAGAAGATAAAACTTTCAAGACCTTTGGGAGGGAAAATTTTCTTGTACAGGACACAAAAATCATTATAAAAAGATCAATTTTAACATTGCTTAGTCAACAACTTCAGTTCCTCAAAAGACATGATTGAGTGGGAAAAGCTATTTGCAACACATATAAACAACAAAGATGTGCCTTTAGAATAAAGAATTCATAGTCAGTAAGATATATTTCAATAAAAAATGTTTTTAAAAAGGGATCATATCAAAAAATGTATTTTACCAAATTCTGTCTTTATACTTGTTTCCAAAGCAATCTGTAATTTTAATGGGATTTTTATTTGTAACAATTTTTGTGTTTTTATAGGCATCCAGTCGGTGGAAGAATTCAGCTGGCTGTGGCCATCATGATCGCCCTTTTCCCATTTGCTGCCTGGGTCTACATATACATTAACAAGGAGATGCGCTCCTCCTGGCCAACTCACTGCAAGACAGTAATTTAAATGGATCCTGTTCTTAAAATGAAAATTTCCCATTTTTATAAATATGGATTATATTTTTAATTCTAAGAACTTTCTAAGGCCGACTACAGTACAGCACAGGGCTGGATGGGACTAGTTAAGAGATGGGGTCTGACATGCCACTGTGTCAGAGTGCAACAGAAAAGGCAGTCAAAACAAAGCTAAAAAATATGCATTCTAACTCAGTGTCCCCACTGTACATGTGACTTGGGCAAATATAAAAAAACCTCCCAGTGGATGTTTCTTTATCTATAAAGCAGCATTAATACTACTGATACAGTCACGAGGATTAAACCAGCAATACGAGAGCACTCTGGAAGTACAAAGTGCTCACAGAGGGCTGCACGTAGTGGCTAAAACAGAGGGAAGTGGGGTTCGGTTAACATGATAGAAACAGGTTCATTACATTTAACTGGTTCAGTGCCATGAGCTAAATGAGAACTCCAGCTGGACCAGCAAGCATGTCTTGAAAAGAAAAGAACGTTAGATAGAATAAAAGAATTTGGAACCAAAAAGGAAACAGGAAACATTAATTACATTGAAAGTGAAAAATTAAGACCAAAATCGATAAACGTTTTTTAAAACTGCATATTTTTTTTCATCCGCAAATTTTTTTCAACTGCAGATTTTATATCTAAATATGGAGCGAGTATTTCCAATGAAGTCAGTGCCCAAATGGATAAGTTATAAGAATAAAATATATACCAGATTTTAAAGACATAATATTAAAAATGTAAAATTTTTATTTTGATTACATGTTGAAATCTTTTAGATATACTGCAGTAAATAAATTATACTATTAAAGTTCACTTTTACTGTTTCTATTCACTTTTTAAACTCGACTGCTAACACGTTTAAAATCCCTGCTGGGGCTCACCGTGTTTCTGTTGGCGGCGCTGCTACGGCGCATCTGGAGAGCACCGTTTGTGCACAGGCCACCGCCCGACTCCGCAGCCCAGACACTGCTTCATGAGATTCAGGAAATAGTTCACTCAAAAAGTTATGAGCACCAATCATATGTCAGGAGAGTGAAAATGAGCCTAAAAAATTTGCCTCTGTTTTTATTAAATGTTTGGAGGAGGTATGCATGTGTTTTGTTTGTTTTAAGCAATGGCCACTGGTTAGAAATTCTTGATCAAGATTTAGATAAGGTAAAACGATAAAAAATCTTGTTGATATTAAAGCAATTAAAGTAAAATTTATTTTAAGGGTCAATAAAGGATTTCAGTGTTCCAGTATATATTTAGTTTGTATAATATTTATGACTTTTATACCTTTTAGTATAACTATTAAGGTCATATATGAAGAAATGAACTTAATCGCATATTCTGTATAGGACCTACCCATCCTCTAAGTAATGCTTGATTCTGCACTTAAAAGATGGTGAAGTTCCAGTTTGAAAAAAAGAAATACTTTTTGAGACACTTTCATCACACCAGCATCACCCACATCACAATGAATTCTGTGATTAAACAGTTCCTTTTAAGTCTCCATAAGTCTATAAAAGGAGGGTAGTGCCTTTAATTGTTTTTGAACTCTACTTTTCAGGTGGATTTAAGTACTACAGTAAGTTTAATATTTCTATTATCAAACCCTGCTTCTCACCCCCAATCTTTTTCTGCCGTTGTTATTCTTCTACACCAGCCTCACAGTAGCTACGGCCGGGACTGACACACAAGTCTCACCATACACCACCCAGCGCAGGAGCCCGAGGGCTCCTCACACTGTATGCCAAGATAAATCCCAACTCTGGGCTGGTCATTCATGCCTTTTCTCCACGTAGCCCAAGCTTAACCTTTTCTGCTTTATTACTTTTGGAGACTCTTCATAGTATTACTTGCCTCTCCTAAATTCTACATATCCTTCCATGCCTCTGCTTATGCTATTCTATCTACTTGAAATACACTTCCACGCCCATTTAAACCATTCTTCTTTCTTCTTCAAGTCATCCCTAAGTCCCTCAAACAGAATTAAATTCCTGCTCCATATTCCCACAGTCCTGTCTTCCCACATTTGTACCTAGGGATCTGTCTCCTCACCACCAAAGTTGGCGAGTGCAGGGAGTACATTGCAGCCACCTCTCTGGTAAACTGAACAACCGCCCTCAAAGATCCAGGCCCTAATCCCCAGAGTGTATGAATGTTACCTTATCCAGCAAAATGAACTTCCCAGATGTGATCGAGTTGAGGCTCTGGAGATGAGATGATCCTGGATTACTTGGTGGGCCCTCAATGTGATCGCAATTGTGGGAAAGACAGGAGACACAAAGACGACTACATAGACAGAAGAGGAAACGGTGATGTAACAACAAAGCAGAAAGAGACTTGAAAACGGTACCTTGCTGGCTCTGACAATGGAAGAAGGGGCCAAGGACTGCAAGAAACACAGCTCCAGAAGCTGGGAAAGGGAAGGAAATGGGCCCTCCCCCAGCCTCCCGAGGGAACACGCCCTAACACCACCTTGATCTCAGCCCAGTGACAGTAATTTCAGACTTCTGACTCCAGAACTGTAAGAGAACAAATGTGTGTTAATTAAGCCACCAAGTGTGTGGTAATTTGTCACAGTAGCCATAGAAAACAAATACCCCCATTATGCCTAGGTACGCAGCAGGCACTCGTGTTGACTAGTATTGGTTTATCTCCTACTGTTTTTAAGCCCTGAATCAGAACTTCTCTACACTTCAACAGTCCCCATTTGCCATCTAGTACGTGTTTCTGAGAATAAGCCTTAGCACATATGACAATGGCATTAACGGGTCCCACTCATCTACAAAGGGAGTCAGGTAAATTCACTTGGCTGCTGTCCTCACCAGCACTAGCTGGTGGCCCAAATCGACCACGGGAGCAGGCACACAGCTGCATGGCACTTGCTTCTGCTTTGGTTGGAGTCAGAGAGGACCACATACCTTCAAAGGTCCTTCTTAGCCTCCCATGGGAGGGCGCACATTCACCTGTGCGAAGGGGAGCACCACTAAGTCACCTGTGAAGCAACTTGATAGCTTTGGTCTACAAAATAGGAACACAAGTCTATAAAAGTACAATATGATGAATACTCTGAGCAAAAATATGTCCAAAGCTCATTTGCATAGCAGGGTTAAAAGGAAAAGCTTTACCTGAGCTTATTTCTTTTTTATTATGAATTTTAAGTTATATAGTAATATGTGAGCATATTCTCCTTGTACAAAGTAAAACAAAATTTTTTAACTCAGGTAAGGCTAAAGTAAAGTCTGACTTGAGGACTATATCTCACCCCCGCCCCCGAGGGTCTCCTCCCTGGCTCACATTCATTCATCTTTTCCAATTTCAGCACTGGATTTACAGCCCAGAGACAACGTTCAGAGGTCTCACGAGCTGACACACACTGAAGTCATGAACATGCTTTGGTATGCCAACAGGATAATAAACAGGGACACTGAGGGTTTCAGGGTGGGGTGGAGAAACAAAAACACAAACCGAAGTCATCCTCTTCCTATAAAGATAAAATAAATCAGACCAAAAATGGAAAAGGTTTTTCCCTCTTATAATTCATAACCCTGTCTGTGACTCGGCCTCTCCCTCTCAACACCATCCTGTCCGGATAGACATGCACGGTGCCGAAAGCCTGGCTGTCCGGGGCGGTCTCAATAACCCCTTCCACATTGACGTGGTGCACACCAAAAGGGTCCTCGGAGTAGCCGCCATCGTGAGTGTGACCGGCGAAGAAACACACCACACACTCGTGAGACCAAATGACTGCAAGGGCATCTCTGTAATTCCAGGCCAGGCACACAGTATCAGAGGCATCTGGGTAAATGGGAAGATGACCTGTTAAGGAGAAGAAGAGTTATGAGCCAATTAGGATACACCTCTTTCACCAAAATTAATGTCTAAAAACTAGTATTCAGAAACACAATGTATACTGTTCCCTCATTATGGACTGAGACCAGCCAGGATTCACACAGGTGAAGACCCAGGTCATCTACAGCCATGTCTCTGGAGCGTGAAGCCTGAGACAGTTCACACACTAGGGCAGAGAGGCCCCAGGAGAGACAGAAGCCCCGAAAGTCTCAACATGTACAAACATCAAGGGAGACTGAGGGCATCCTATACAGGGCAGTCTGCAAAGTCTGCCAGAGTCAGGCAAACGCGGCGCTGGAGTCCAGTCTTGCTGACTTCCTTAAGTAACAAGTATTATATACACACATAGAGGGGCTCTTAGGTAAAAAACATATTAGGGATGGGCCAGTGAGTTATGTCACTTTTATAAACACTCAATGTTTTATAAAGAACTGATTAATGCCACTTCAAACATCTCCTGGAAAACAAGGTAGCCACAGCCATTTCACCAATGAGGAAACTGAGCTAAAGTGGCGAACACTCACACTAGGTCCCATGGGACATACGTGGAAGTAGAGCCAGGAGACTTTGAAATTCCTGCTGCCAAGACATGTATGAGGCCACGTCATAGATCAGGCCACTCTGAAGTACAGGAACAGCAGCTCATTGGGCTTGGCTTCCTCCCACTAAATCATTTTTCTCTCTGTTACCGTGTATTTTTATTCTGCTTAATATGTCCTAGTTTATATTACAAAAAAGAAGGGGGCTAACAGTGCATGTTTGCACGCACACACACACACTGAAGCCACCAACTGCAACAGGGCTAAGTGTCCAAAGAGGCTGTGTAACTTTCCAGATCTAGACGCCAGAGTGCAGTCATCTATCAAATCCCAGTTGCTCTCTTCCCCTTGAAACCCTGGACTTCCAGGACAGAATCAGCCCTCCAAGCTTTCCTCCAACCTCAATGGCGACTAACTCTCACTCTCTTTTGCTGGTTCCTTATCTCCCCAGTACCTTATTAGAAGTGCTAGAATGCTTGGCTCTTGGGCTTCATTTCTCCACCTACACATAGCAACTTGGTGATCTCTTAGCAGTGTACATACGTAGTTTTAAATACCATCTGTAGTCTTTCAACTTCCACATTTATACATCCAGTCCAAACTTCTATTCTGAATTTCAGATTCATTATGTCCAAAATGCTTACTCGACATCTCCACTGATGTGTAACAGGCACCTGAAAGTTAGTATTTTCAAACTTGAACTGAGCCCTCCACCGAAAACCTCCTCCTGTTGCAATGTTCCCTAGCTCAGCTAATAGCAAGTCTGTCCTTCCAACTACATGGCCAAAAGTTTAGATACAGGCAAAATGAAATCTGAGTACCCAAAAGGAAAGTGAAAAAGCAAATGAAAGTAAATTTCTATTAAGTCATTTTAAACTTTGCTGAAAAAAACCTGGGACACTCAGTTGTTAAAGATTTGTTCATACAGTTTCTAAGGTTACCAAAAACAGAAGAAATTTAAGAGACTGACACTGCACATGAGAGCACAGACATAAACAAGTAAGAACATGGGATAGAGTGGGAAAGGGGCTGGGAAACAAAACATGGACTCTTAAGTCTCGGTTCTGTCAGTAGCTGTGCAGTTTCAGTTTTAATCTCTTTGGCTCAGTTTCCCTATCTTTAGAATCAAAGGTTTGACTATATGATCTCAAGGCCTATTTTAGCTCCAGGGTGCTCCAAAGTAACAAGTACAAGCTAGCAGTGAAGAGCTATGAAGCAGAGACAAGTCAGGAAGTGTCCCAGTTTTTGAGACACTCGCTGTCAAACCAAAATAGTCTCACACCACGCCAATAACCCCTGACAGTGCCTTGCACTTACCAAGCCTTGAATGACATTTGATACACCAATGGTGGCAGAAACACCCCTAACTCCATCTACATGTTCTTACTACATCAGTGGAAGATAGTAAGTAAAAGACTACATATGTAGATAGAAACCTACTTTTATATCATCAACTATCTGTACAGCCTGTCATTTTCAAACAGTTTTCATGTTCACAATTTCAACTGGGGCAATACTGAGAAAACCACAGTTTGTAGGTTGGACATTTGCCCAGAGTCACATGAACCATAGATATGAGAGCCAGAATGGCATTCCGTCCTTGGGACTCCTCGTCCAGTACTCTCATCCATTACACCATATCAATTAGACCCCTAAAACAAGGGATCTGATCTCAGCCCCCAGAGCAAGCACAACAGCCACAAGGTAAATTCAAGTCTTCGTGTATACATGCATGTGCACACACTCACACCTGAGTGTATTTTAAGCACCTGCAGATTCCTACAATTTCTGATGGCAGCATGTCTGTAAAAATGATTCTGAATGAAAACAGTAATTACGTCCGTGCTCACTGCCAGCTATGTCTCACTCCTGTTACACCTGCTTTGCTTTCATCCAGGCAGCAGGGGTCTCTGTTTTGTGGCCAATGCACTGCCAGGTAGGTCTCCTAAGACTGAGATTTGGGATGGGGTGTGAAATAAATTTTTCATTTAAATTTTACTATGTAAATTGATCCCACTTGGAGAAATTCTACTATGAAACCTAAAAGGCCAACTCACAGGCTCTAGTATTTGGCAAGATGTTTTTGTTCTTTTACAATTCAATTCTTCCTTTACTCAATTCAGAGTAAATCTCAGATTGTTTTTCTCAATAAAAAATCAGATTTTTTTCAATAAAAAAATTTAAACTAAGCATTCATTTTATAGAAAGAGGCCATCACAATATAATAAGTGTTTAGTACATTTTAAAATTTAACTTTTCCCATTCTGTAAAATGCTAGTATTTAACAAATCATTTAAATACTTACTCACGATCACCACCTTCTCTTGGTTTCTGTCAGAGAATGTAAGGACTGCATTCAACCAGTTCAGCTGTTCTTGGCTGAATCCTCCATTAAACTGGACAAACTGAGGCTCAGAAAGTCCTAAAATGAATTCTGCACATTAGATCCATCACGTATCATTGTCTTGTCACTAGGGCATTCAAACTTAGCTAACATAGGTACACTTCTCTTTAGGAACATTTGGCAGCAATTGAGTTAAAATAGGAAACCACCAGAATTTAGAGCAATATTCAAATAAATTGTGCTTTATCTTTTTCCTAATCTTTGACATCCTCTGCTCACTTCATTAGCTTCCTATTACATTGAAAATAAAATAAACTCTTTACCATGTCCTTTGAACTACTCCGACATCCTCCTGCACACTGGCTCTTTTCTACGTTCAAGAATGCCAAAGTCTCACTGCGCTTAGTGCCTCTGCATTTGTTTCTCCTTCTGTCATAGTATTCTTCCCAAGGCTGACTGCCTCCTCATTATTTAGGTTTCAGCTTAAATGTTTTTCTCCTTAGAGCAGCTAGCTCTGACCACCTGAACTAAAACAGTCCCCCCTTATATTTTCTTCGTAGCATGTATCATTGTGAAAATAATCTTATTACTGTGTCATTAATAAATAGGCCTGCCTACTTACTTTTGTTTCCTCTACTCCATGCATTAAAAAAGTGATATTGTCAATACTGTTTACACTTGTAAATAGTTAAGCTCTAGAAAAAGTGCTCAGCCCACAGAAGGTATTTGGATATCTGTTAAAAGAAATTTTGAACCAACTGCAACCAATCCATGTACCATGAGGCTTGTGAGAAATCCTGACCCTGAACAACAGCGACAATATACTTTTACCTTAATCATCCATCTTCCTGCTGAATAATAGGTAGCTGGAGAATTTAAAGACAATGTATTAGATTCTCAGCTCAAAGGAATAATTCACCTTGAGGACTATTCAATTCCATATTTGGATTGTGCTCCTTCAGCATCTTCAGACACTGCTGGTACTTTGGAGAAGACTGATCCACGCCCAAGACACTCAAGTCATAAGCATCAAGTAAAATGAACCGGAATTTGGGGAACGGAGAAAAATGGTAAGCGTAATAACTCCCGGTAGGCACAGTCTCAGGATGATGTACAATCTGGTCTTCTAGAAACTTTGTGTTCAGTTTAGAGTTTGTTAAATACTCTCTGCTGAAGTTATAGAATTCATGATTTCCCCATGTGTGATGAACTGGGACTTGAAGCATTTGAAACACATTCATAACAAGTTCTAGTGACTTCTCTGATGCTTTATACTGCGCATTGTAGCCGTCAATGATATCTCCCAGCTGAAGTACACAACAGGGCCGGCTGCTTTCTTTATTCCAGTGTTCAATAGCAGCCTGCAAGTGAACAAGACTATGTCTGTAGTATCGTCTTCTGTTTCCTTGGTAATTATAGCCGTCTTCTAAATTAGCATACTGAATATCTGCTATAACTCCGAAGGAGAAAAGAAGTTCTGAACTCTCACTCACAGTTCCAGAACTGGGCTTATCATCCATAACCTCCAAACAGGTTTCTAAATAAAGTAAAAAAGATAATTAAGTTATTAACACTTTAACTTTCTAATGGTAAAATGGATATTAAATGTAACAGTTAATCCACTAGGAAGCTTGGTAGAGAGGAAAGTACAGGTGCTTTACAGGCTGACAGTCTTAGGTCCAATTACCAAGCCCATGAAATGCTTCCATTTTCTTATCTGTGAAATACACAATAACCTGTATTCTTTAGAAGAGTAATAATTTACAAAAGAATATTATCTTACTAATGAACAGGCATTTTAATTCTAGTAAAGTCAATTTCAAATCTGGAATAATCTGCAATTTTTAAGAAATACACACTAGTTTTACACACACACACACACACACACGCACGCACCTTCTTCCACAAACACCAGTAATTTTATCAAAACTTCAGGAATTTTTTTTGAAAGTCATACATTACACTCACTCATTGTACTTTATACATGAGACCCCCTACTGTGGGTTATTTTGTATTGGGCTGAATGCTTTCTCTTTGTTGGTGGGTAGGTCACCTGAAATAAATTTCTCCTATTTTTTTATGTGGAATAACAGGGTAAAGATAGGTGAATAATAATTTTAAACAAAAAAATCTGGCACAAAAACTATGATGTCGATGTGATTATTTTCTTCAAAAGTTGGATACTAGGCTGAACCAGCTTTTTAAAACCTGAATATTAACTCCCCTTCCTTACAACCAAAACTGATCTGTGCAGTCCTAAGCAGCACAGTGGCCTACCACAGGTGGGGGTGACAGCTCCACAGCCCGCAGAAAAGGCCAGGCTTCCGTTTGACTCACTGGAGGAGGGGCTTCCCTCCCTTCTACAACTGTTGACCCTAAGGATACACTTTCCACCTGATCCACCCAATTACAAGCTTCACCTACGTTTCTTTCTTCCTTAATCTGGTTGGGTATAATTATCTCTAAAACAGGTGAAATAGCACCATGGAGATCCTAAAAAATGGCTTGGTGTTCTTACACTGGGTTTTTGTTTTTTCACTTGCTCATTTTCCCCGTGGTCCCTATTTGAAAAGCCCACTGGTATCAAGTCAGTCTACATATATAGGAGGGGTGGTTTAGATGAGATCATCTGATTTGGAAGGTAAAGAACTCAGATACAATTACAATAAATACAAAGCTCACCTAAATCAGCTGAAAATCTCTAGTTCTATTAGATTTCAAGATTTTGCCAATTCCAAGCACAGATTAACAGAAGAATCAAACCAGAAGATAATTTAGCAAGGGTATCAGTGGAATATTACTGCCAAAGCCTAAGGGAAAACTGTTTCTGGGAGTGCTTTTATCCCCAATCAAATGAGCCTGTTTATTTTTATCTTTAAACTCAGAGACTTTAGGGCAATAGTATGGTACTGTGGAGCTCCTGGAATGCACTTAATCCCAGTTAATTTGATCTTCTCTCCAGTGGATAGTGGTTACTTGTGCCTAACACAGCATCCATTCCTTACTCTGCTGGTAACAGCACCCCAGTGTCTCCTCCGGTATCTATCCACTGCCTCCCTCTCACTTCGTGTGATTTGAGAGGCACAGACACATGACCCAGGCTTGGCTTATACAAGCCCAGTTTCCAGTCTGGTCAATTAGGGGAAGGCATATAACCTAAGCTGGGCCAGGTCAGCCCTGGGACTTTTGCTGGAACTACTAGCAAAATCCTTAGAACTATCTCTGCTAAGCTGATAACTAAGACTAGAACTGCTGGGAAAATTAAATCAAAAGAAATCTGACCGATGGATAGAAGTCCAGTCCTCAGAATTTGCTTTTGAAAAGAAAGGGCAAATACCAAGTTTTTGTTCTGAAAGTTTTGCCTGTATCATTTACAATATGCTAAGCTATCTAAGTTTTAGTTAAGAGGAATTATAATGAACTGCTGAAGGCTTTTGAAACTGAAGACCTGGAATTGAACTGGGGTCTCAGCTTTTCCTAAAGCAAAATAATCCTCATCAGATGCTGTGAAAAGTCAACTGAGTTATAACACACAGTAACCTACTTTGTAAATCATAAAGCACTGCATGTTAAAGAATGTTATTTTTTGACTACGGATCTGAACAGGTATCTGCCTGGTGAACCTCAAAATACATGAAACTTTTTATGGAACAGAATAATGTAGACAACTTTTCAAGTTCTTCTGAAAAATTCCTGTAAGATGTCATGGTGCAGGATAAGCAGCCAGCACGTTGTGAAAATCACCTGAGACATCAATGATTATTTAAGAATGAGAGGAAATACTTAGGGATGCTTAATTGCTGAAACCTTGTTTCAAGATGATACTAATAAAATGTCTATGATAATTAGGACTGGCCAGAAGGCTGAAGTTCCTTAAGCACCTATGATGAACTTGTGAGGACAGCCCTACACTGAAAAGAATATTTCCTTTAAACCATTGTCAAAGCAATTGGTGGGGGTGACAAATACAGAAATGAGGAAGGAGGGACGTTGTTAAGGGGAACGACTGCGAGACAGATGCCCTAGGTGGCTGTGGGAAGAGGAGGGCAGGGAGGGGGGTAGGTCTTGAACCCTGACTGAGCCACACACTGCAGTAACAGCAAAGCTGAGGGGGAAAATTTTTGTGGCTAGGTACAGGAGGCGGGTGTCCAAACTCGAGATGCAGCAAACAAGTTACAATGCCAGGAAGGTTTTCTTCTGAAAATTAGGCCTAACTTTCCTAGTCAAAATAGCCTAAAGTAAGCATAAAATTTCACTGGCCTTGTTGGATGATGTGATGTGTCCTATTTCTTTTAAAAAAAGCATCTGGCCCTGGCTGGTGTAGCTCAGTGGATTGAGCGCAGGCTGCGAACCAAAATGTCGCAGGTTCGATTCCCAGTCAGGGTACATGCCTGGGTTGCAGGCCATGACCCCCAGCAACCGCACATTGATGTTTCTCTCTCTCTCTCTCTCTCTACAAATAAATAAATAAAATCTTAAAAAAAAAAAGAAAAGCATCTAAATTGAAAGAAAATTAAAAACCTCATCTGGAGATCTTGGTGGTTTGATAGTAATAAAAGTGATAGGTTTACACTCATGTTTAAGGTCATTCTTAACACTAAAAGTTTCATAGATCCATGAAATCAGGCTCAGAGTGGGTTACTAGCAATTCAATCCAACGCATAGTTATAAAACACTTACTTTGAGTCAGGGACTGTTTTAGAAGCTAGTATTTTATTTAGCATTATAAATTTGACATGAAGAGGTTGAATAAAAATGCTCTGGTAAACAAATAATGGTAAAGGTATTAAAAGAATCTCTCCAGTAAACAAAATTTAACAGAGCAGCTAAAAACACCACTGAATTCAATTTTAATTTATATGATGTGTGTTGATTAACCTACAACTGAGAAGGATAAACAATTATTTTATGTGCTCACTGCCTGAATAAGCAAGGTGCTTTTCTGGCTTTCTGTCTATTTGAGGAAAATTTCTCCCTGGGCAAATACAGAAATATGAAGGTAAAAAAATATCCTACAGGCAACTCCAGACAGAAAATTTAGTTCGATTAAAAATGATCTGAAGTGCTGAGCAAACATTCACTTTGAGCAGAAACTCCAGAAATTTCCAGTTCAACTCTGGGATCAAGAAGTATGGCTGACACCAGACCACAGCCCGACAGCACCCAAGAGGAGCACTTAGCTGGTTATGCCAGCTCACTCAGAACTCCTCCCTGCAGCCCCACAGTCACAAACACTGGCTTTTCTGGTCTCACATCCTGGTGACTCTGGTGGGGACCTCCGGGACACTCTGGTAAGTCTGGATATTTGGTGGAGTCCAGTTGGCTACCTGGACTGGGGGGCCCTGGGGTGCAGATGTGGAGACTCCCCAGCAGATGTCAAGTGATTTCACTGGGGGACTCTCTAATTCCCGGCATTCCCCATTGCCTTCACTTTTGATTGAACAGCTGTGCTTTCTGGTTCAGAATTGCAGTCCCAGGTTAACTAAGCTGCCTTCTGGTTTGTGTGACATTACAGATCTCTGGTAGAACTGAAGTCCCAGGTTATGACTTAAAATAGTTGTAATTAAGGTGTTTTTGGTTTGTGTAATATGAGAGCTCTGTCTGGTAGAATGGGGTGGGGAGGAGCCTCCATTCCAGGAAACAGCCGTTTGGGGTGAATCCTGGCTGACTGGTTGGCTTGTGCTCACGAACCTAAGAAAACATTTTTTTATTGTAATACTGCTTGGTTTATGTATCATCTGGACTCAGGAGAAAGCTGGCCACTGAATGGGTCTTTAGACTACTGTACTATACTGCAATTAGAGTTGTTTTGTCAAAGATCAGGGAAATGGGAAAATGGTCCAGACAAGAGGGAATTTGCCTGTGGCAGGTAACAGAAGCTCAGAACAGAGGAACCAGGAAAATCAGGGTGGCTGCTGAGCACGGTCAGGGTTCCCCCGGGGCTTCTCCTCCTCACCCGGCTGAGGAAGCCAAAGGCGGTGAGCCTGCACTGGTCTCTCTGTCCCGAACCCATCAGGGAACCAAACTCAGCGGAGGACAAGCCCCTGTTGGGAACCGCCCTGACTGGTATTAGAAGCTGAGACCCCCGCCTAGGCTAAAGCTAAGGGAACGCCCTTGGAACCGTGAGCCAGCAAGGAGACAAAAGCTTATCTTCCTGGCAGGAATGCTGTTTCTGCTGCTTTGTTCATAACTGAACCCCCCAAAAAGCTTGGTCGGGTTAGCCAAAGACGGGTAAGATTCCCCACGGGGGAACAACCCAAGCCAGGCACGATCACTTTGGGAGGCCCCCCAAAAGAAGGACTTGGGGGGGGGGCTGCAGCAAAGGGGGGTGATGGACCCTCACTCCTCGGCTTTGACAAAGTCTGAGTTCTCAGCGTCCGGAAGAAAATCTCCTTATCTCTCGGTCTACTAGGGTAGGGCAATCATACCGCAACGGAAAAGGGCAGTGGAAAAATGAGAGCCCAGAGTGAGGGAAAAGGAGGTGAGTCTGAGAACTTGGGTAAAGCTAAGAGTGAAGGGGCAAATTGTAGATTTTTTTTTATTGATACAGAGTGATGTATTCCATGGTCAGCAGACCTCTAACTGAACTGGAACTGGAATTTCTGAAAGCCCTAGAAGCCAATTTTTCTTGAAGCCATTAGAATGTGCTGTGGGAGATATGGTTTTCCTCTTCTGGGAGGGGATTTGTTGTCAAAACTCCAAGTTCAAATCACTCTCTCTCCAGAGGAACAGCTCCACCTACAGGTCCCTCCAGAGCACACTCGGCAGTTCCTCATGAAACCTCGGGAAAGAGGAAAGCAACTCCGAACAGAAGAAACTGCGAAATCAGGTAAACCCCACTGGCGTGGGCTGCTGGAAGGCCAGGGAGGGCTAAGCGAGCCCCCCTGTTAAAGGTGACCTCAAACCAGGACAGGGACTCTCATAAGAGGCAGTATCTCTAGCGAGAGGAGACCCTAGAAGGAATATGCCCAGTAATTCAGAAGTTTCAGGAATATAGACTCATTTGGCACTGCTGCTCCCTGTACAAGGTTTAAGGGCCATAAATGACACTGTACAAAACAGTACACCCAGGGACAGCCCCTGGTATTCAGTATTGGACTTAAAAGATGTTTTCTTTTGCATTTGGTTGACCTACACTATCAACTGTTGTTTGCTTTTGAATGGCAGGACCTGGACAGTCTTATCGCAAGGGTTCAACAACAACTCCCCCACAATTTTGGGGGAGACCCTGAGCCAGGACTTAAAAGACCTAAAACTAGAGGGAGGAACTTTGTTACAATAGGTGCATGCATCCTTTAACTCATACTATAGCTTACCTTGAACCATTTGGCAACTTGGGGCCATAAAGTATCAGCACAGAAGACCCACATGTGCCAACAAGCAGTAAGGTTTCTTGGGTTCCTGCTTAAACCTAGCAGAAGGAGTCTTATCGGGTTTTTCAAACAAATTAGATAACACTGTCCAGAGGTGAACAGTCTGCTTGAGAGCTGTGGCAGCTACATGACAGCTTTTACAGGAAACTGAAAAGCTTTTCTTGGGAAGGTAGAGCAGATGAATCACATCTTGAAGAAAAATGTTGCCAAACTCTCAAGAAACTCATCTCCACTGGGATCAAGTTTTACATATCGTCCTACTCAGAACAAGGCTCCTTGAAATGGAATTCAATTGAGTCCTTATGAAACTGCGTATGGGCAACCATTTCAGGCTATGATTGGGAAGAAAGATGTGTATGTAGACCAAGAAGTGAAGGTAAAGAACTACGTACAACATTTAAGTCAGACTTTAGCTGTGATTCACAACCCTAGCTGTATTAGAGATCTCTCCCCTGCAGGTTCACTGTGATCCTTTGAACCTGGAGATAAGGTGGTACTCAAGACTTGGATGATGGGATTCCCAGAAAGCCAACTAGAAGAAAAGTGAACTGGAACCTACGCCAAACAAACTCATTTCATGTCTTGTAGGCATTTGTGCTCCCTACAAAGATAACTAGGAACTTACGGTAACCCTAAAGGACACGGAAATGTTTTCCTTAAAAACAGTAACGTAGCCCTGGCTGTCGTAGCTCAGTGGATTGAGCGCAAGCTGCGAACCAAAGCATCGCAGGTTCAATTCCCAGTCAGGGCACAGGCCTGGGTTGCAGGCCATGACCCCCAGCAACCGCACATTGATGTTTTTCTCTCTCTCTCTCTCTCTCTCTCTCTTTTTCCCTCCCTTCCCTCTCTAAAAATAAATAAATTAAATCTTAAAAACAAAAAAAAAAAAAAAAACAGTAACGTGGCCCCATCTGGAAAATGTACAACTTTTGTCAACTGTACTGAAAACTGTTTTAGATGAATTGCAACACCACCACTAATGTGGAAGGGCTGTTTACTCAACAACAAAATGATTTTTAAATGATCTTACCTGGTTTTATGTCTCGTTTGTATTTCTTTAATTAAACTAATCTTACAGAAATAAAATGACTAAAAACTAACGGGGGAAATGACAGGGAATCACAAGAGTTAAAAGATTTTAGCCTTAGCTATAGTTGACAGGCTTAAGTGACTAATGCACTGGAAAGCTGTTATTCTAGGAACTGGAATGTACAACCTAAGTGACTCCAGGAAGTCGACCAGCAAATCAACCTTTGTGCCCCAGGGGTTCTGCAAGCCATAGCTGGCATCTGAGCCACTGTGTTTCAGGGAGGAAACACAGATAAGGAGTTGCTGATCATACACACTGAAGATGGCTACTGAGCAGGTGGAAGCTGAGTTTACTTGCTCCTGGCCCCAACCCAGATTTTCAACTGAACTTCTGACAAGCAACCTGAACAATCAACAGAATCTTAGCTGACATGAAGTTTTTTTTAAGATTTTATTTATTTATTTTAGAGAAGGGAAGGGAGGGAGAAAGAGAGAGAAAAACATCAATGTGTGGTTGCCTCTTGTCCACCCGCTACTGGGGACCTGGCTTGCAACCTAGGCATGTGCCCTGACTGGGAATCTAACCAGCAACCCTTTGATTCACAGGCCAGCACTCAGTCCACTGAATTATACCAGTCAGGGCTGATACAAAGTTTTGAAGCCAAGAAGTACAGAAGATGCTCTGTACCATTTGGTAAGGGGATTTTATACATGGTAGAGGAAACACCATGTGTGTGGCTCCTGTTGCAGCTGAGAGATAAGACAGAAATTGCAGCTTTGGAGCTCCCTCCCCCATAGGAGCAAGGGGCCTTAATCCCACACAGGGATCTCCAACCCTAATCAGGGATACTTAGGGGGATCCACTGAATCTGAGACCCTGGCTGCACGCACAATGAGCAGAGCTTCTGCTGTTGAAGCATCAAACTGGAGAGCTCAGGACAGAGACTCAGACTGCTAAAGGGACCAGGCTGCTGTTCCCGGGTCTGTCAGAGGCACCTACAGGCTGCAGCCAGTCGTGACTTTGCTCCTTGGGCAATGGGGAGGGACTCAGTACTGCTGTGTGGGCACCTTTTTAAAAGGATCTGAAATGTGGCTGGGCAAGGACCTCATGTGCAACTGCTCTGCCAGCAAAGAAACCACATTGAAATCACAGTCACAGAGCTCCCTCCCCTTTGAACTGTGGGCCGTAAAAATACTCACAGCAATAGAGAAGGAAGGGGAAGCTGTGGGGTCTCTGGCAGCAGGATACAGTGAGGTTCCACCAGACCTGTGAAAAACAGAGATTGAAAATTCAGCATGAAGTACATCTGTGGTTGGGGTGCCAGGTACAGAAGAGTTCACTATACGAGCTCAAATTAAGAGAGAGACCACGCTGAAACAAAAAAGCTTCTGAAGGTGGCAGAGAGCAATGGCATAAAGGGGATCTCTGACTGCAGGGCAGGCACAGGGGAGACCAAAACAGAACTAGCTGAATGGCATGAGAAAGAGAACCAGTTTTCCTACTCTCAAGTGTGCGAGCAGTGCCCAGACCGTGCCCCGACCCCACCCCGCCATACTGTGAGCTACCCCTGCTGCCGCAGCTGTAGAAAAGAACCTAGTGAAATGGTGAAGTAGTTTTTTGGCCCATTTTGAACTTTTCTCACACATGCTAAGCCTCACTGTATCTTCAGGTCCTTTCCCACTGAGACCAGCCAAGCAGCGAGATCAGAAATTTGTACAATGAAGGGTCTTTTGAGCTCTGCCCAGCTCGGCTTGCAAACAAACCAGGGGATGCGTGGAGCAGAGAGTTCTGAACTGTGTCTCCTGCAAAGGCTGTAGGCTAGGAGTTAGATGGGTAGAGTTGAGTGCCTGGGATACTTTGCAGCAAGGCAAACCTACTCAAGCCTGCAATCCCCTGGGAAGGGAAGGCAAGGCAAGGCCTGTCCCCCTACTGCAGGGCTGCAGGCACCACCTCTAAAGGGGAAACTCTGCATATCAGCCCTGCCTGGTCCAAGATTTCCCCGCTGGGTGTACTTCCAAAGGAAGAAGAAAGAAACTCTGAACGGGGACTTTCAAAGTGTGAGACTTTTAAAGGATATCACCTGGGAACAGGACAGAGAGCTTTGCCTCTAACTGAGGTCTTGGAATGAGAGCATTCAGCCCCCACCTGCAGTCTGTTCTTGCCCAAACTTCAATGGGAGGCTCTTCCGATCTATCCCCTGAAGTCCAGAGCTGCTGAGCTCACTCCTGCAAAGGGGAAAGTTGAATGTACCCATCCTGAATCAGCAGTGAGCCCCCCGGGCAAGTGCTGGACTCTCTGGCAAAGACTGAAGGGACTAGCTTTGAGTAGGTGCTACTCTCTCCTCACTGAGTGCCTTACAGACTGCAGAACCAACAAAGTGAAAACCTGCTAGTCCTGGTAATCAGCTTACAGACCCTCATCAGAAGGCCCTGGAAAAAAACCAGGCAACCTCAGGGAAGGGCAGAGTGGTTTTAAGAGGAGGCCGACCTCAGGGAGCCTCGGGTCCTTTCCAGAGCTGCCACCAGCTCCAAGCAGGAAAAGAGCTGACTCTTTTAAACAGCTGGCCCCTTGCATGCACAAGCAGGTCCAGGAAACACAGACCCAAGCAGTGAACAGCCTGATGGCTACAGAGAGGTAGCCTAGGGCCAGATTCACACACCATCTGAAAGCAACCTGTTTCTGAACCCCACCCAACTGGACCCAGGACCAGTAAAACCACTGGTGGACTTCTGCCCACACCAAAACCTGAACCAACTAGTCACAGGATCAGTATCCCGAAAGGGTGTACAAAGGATAGCACACCTACCCAACACAGAGATCAAATGGGGTGACAATGAAAAATGTCCCAAGCAAAACAACAGAAATCCCCACAAAAAAAGAATTAAAAGATACAGATAAAATGGAAGCAACACAAATACCCAGATGCAGAGTTTGAAATAATGGTTATAATGATGCTCAAAGACCTAGGGGAAGAACAGATGATCTCAGTGAGAACTTAATGAGATAATAAGCATTAAGAAGGTTATAGAAACCATAAGTAAGAACCAGTCAGAAATGAAGATTACAATTTTTGAAATGAAGAATTTGCTTGAAGGAATCAACAGTAGGTTAGATCAGAGGATCAAATCACTGAATTAGAGGACAAGATGACAGTATCCACCCAAAGAGAAAATGAAAAAGAAAAGAGACTTAAGAGAAATGAGGAAAGCCTAACGTACCCTCAGGATAACATCAAGTGTAACAACAGCCGCATTACACGAGTGCCAGAAAGAGCTGAGTGTATTAGAGGGATATAGAACCTGTTTGGAAAAATAGTGGCAGAAAACTTTTCCAACCTGGTGAAGGAAAAGAACACACAAGTCCAAATAGGAGAGAGTCCCAATAAACATGAACTCAAAGAGACCTACACCAAGACTCATCATAATTAAAATGGCAAAGCTTGAAGGCAAAGAGAAAATTTTAAAGGCAGCCTGAGAGAGCATTACTTACAAGGGGACTCCCATTAGAATCTCAGCTGATTTCTCAACAGAAACACTTCAGGCCAGAAGAGACTGGCAGGAAATATTCAGAGTAATGAAAGCTAAGAACATGTAGACTAGACTGCTCTACCCAGAAAGGCCATCATTTAAAACTGAAGGTCGAATAAACAGCTTCCCACAGAGTAAGGTTAAGAGTACAGTACCACCAAACCAGCACTGTAAGCGATGTCAAAGGATGTTCTGTAATAAGAAGAAATAGAGGAAAAACATAGGTATGATACAAAAAACGGCAATAAATAAGCACCTCTCAATAACCTAAAATGTAACTAAGTGAATGCTCTAATCAAAACACAGAGAGTAGCCGAATGGATAAGAAAAAACAACCCATATATATGCTGTCTACAAAAGACTCACCTGAGAGCAAAAGATTTCCACAGGCTGAGAGTAAAGGGATAGAGGAAAATATTCCACACAAATGGAATAAAAAAAAAAAGTGGGTGTAGCAATACTTATATCTGACAAAATAGACTTCAAAATGAAGGCCATAAAAAAGATAAAAGAAGGTCACTTCATAATTCTTAAGGGTTCAATCCAACAGGAGGACATAACCCTCGTAAACATACATGCACTCAATACAGGAGCACCTAAATATATTTAAACAATTTTGGTGGACTTTAAAGAAGATATCAACAACAATACTGTCATAACAGGGGATTTTAACATCCCACTGATAACACTGGATAAATCTTCCCGACAAGCTATCACAAGGATATAGTGGCATTAAATGACATACTAAATCAAATGGACTTAATTGACATTTAAAGGACATTTCACCCCAAAGAAGAAGTATATACATTCCTCTCAAGTGTACATGGATCATTCTCAAAGACAGACCACACATTAAACCACAAACAAGCCTTAACAAATGCAAGAAAATTGAAATTATATCAAGCATTTTCTAGATCACAATGGCATGAAACTAGAAATCAACATCAATAAAAAGACTCAAAGACATTCAAATACTTGGAGGTAAATAGCATGTTATTAAATAATGAATGGGTAACCAGTAAGATCAAGGAGGAGATCAAAAAATTCCTGGAAACAAATAAAAATGAACACACAACAACCCAAAATCTATGGAACACAGCGAAAGCAATCCTACGAGGGAAGTTCATAGCACTTCAGGCCTAATTCAAGAAGCAAAAAAAACTCAAATAAACAATCTAAACCTACACCTAAGAGAACTAGAAAATCAACAAAACCCCAGAGCAAGCAGAACAAGGGAAACAATCAAGATTAGAGTGGAAATTAATGTCATAGAGGCTAAAAAAATAATACAGAAGATTAATGAGCCCTGGCTGGTGTGGCTCAGTGGAATGAGAAGCGGCCTGTGAACCAAAGAAAGGGTCACCAGTTTGGGGTCAGGGCACACACTTGGGTTGCAGGCCAGGTCCCCAATGGGGGGTGCAGGAGAGGCAACCACACATTAATGTTTCTCTTTTTGTCTTTCTCCCTCCCTTCCCCTATCTAAAAATAAATAAATAAAATCTTTTTAAAAAAAAAGATCAATGAAACCAGGAGCTAGCTCTTCAAAAAGATAAACAAGACTGACAAACCTTTAACCTGCCTCATCAAAAAAAAAAAAAAGACAGAGGACCCGAATAAATAAAATCAAATTAAAGATATGGAAAACAACCAGTATCACAAAAATACAAGGTTTTATAAGAAATTACTAAGAATAACTATATGTCAAGAAATCAATCAACCTGATTTGACTGGGTGAAATGGACAAATCCTAGAGACATACAATCTCCAAAAACTGAATCAGGAAGAAGCAGAAAACCTGATTAGACTGATAACAATGAATGAAATTGAAGGAGCAGTCAAAAAACTCCCAGCACACAAAAGCCCTGGACCAGGCCTCACAGGCAAATTTCTCCAATCAAAGAACTATCACTGATCCTTCTCAAACGATTCCAAAAAACTCAAGAGGGGAAAGACTTCCAAGCTCTCTCTATGAGGTCAGTAGTATCCTAATTCCAAAATACAACAAAGAAAAAAAATTATAGGCCAATATCCTTGAAGAATATAGATGCTAAAATCCTCAACAAAATATTAGCACACTGGATCCAGCAATATATAAAAAAGATCATACACCACAATTAAGTGAGATTTATCCCAGGGATGCAAGGTTGGCACAATATTTGCAAATCAATAAATAAGATTCATCACATAAAGAAAATGAAAGACAAAAACCACATGATCGTATCAACAGATGCAGAAAAAGCATTTGATAAAATCCAGTACCCATTCATGATAAAAACTCTTAGCAGAGTGTGAATAGAGAGATCATACCTCAACATAATAAAGACTATATAAGAAAAACCTACGGCTAACATAATTCTTAATGGGCAAAAACTAAAAGGATTCCTGTTAAGATGAGGAACAAGACAGGGATGTCTGCTTTCAGCACTCTTATTCAACATAGTTGTAGAAGTCCTAGCCACAGCAATCAGACAAGAAGAAATAAAAGGCATTCAAATTGGAAAGGAAGAAGTAAAGCTATCATTATTTGCAGGTGACATGATATTATTGTACACAGAAAACCCTAAAGACTCCACCAAAAAACTACTAGATCTAATAAATGAATTTGACAAAGTAGCAGTATACAAAATTAATACCCAAAAGTTGATGGCATTTTTATACACCAAGATTGAAATATCTGAAAGAAAAACTAAGAAAACAATTCCATTTACTATTACAACAAAAAAAATAAGGTACTTAAGAATAAACTTAACTAAGAAGGTAAGAAACCTGTACTCTGAAAACTATAGGCCACTGAAGAAAGAAATCGAGGATGATACAAATAAATGGAAGCATCCACCGTGTTCATGGACTGCAAGAATTAACATCATTAAAATGGCTATTCTACCCAAAGCAATCTATACATTCAATGCTATTCCTATTAAAATATCAATGGCATACTTCACAGAACTAGAATACTCCAAAAATTTATATGGAACTAAAAAAGAACCTCAGTAGTCTCAGCAATCTTATGAAAGAAAAACAAAGCTAAAGGTATCACAAATCTTGATATCAAACTACATACTATAAGGCCACTGTCATAAAAACAGTACTGGCACAAGAACAGACATACAGATTAGTAGAACAGAACAGAAAGCCCAGGAATAAACACACGCCTGTATGAGCAACTGATATTTCACAAAGGCGGCAAGAGCATACAATGGAGCAAAGACAGTATCTTCAATAAATGGTGTTGGGAAAACTGGACTGATACATGCAAAAAAAGTGAAACTAGACCACCAACTTATACCATACACAAAAAATAAACTTGCCCTGGCTGGTGTAGCTCAGTGGATTGAGCGAGGGCTGCGAACCAAAGCATCGCAGGTTCGATTCCCAGTCAGGGCACATGCCTGGGTTGCAGGCCATGGCCCCCAGCAACTGCACATTGATGTTTCTCTCTCTCTATCTCCCTCCCTTCCCTCTCTAAAAATAAATAAATAAAAATCTAAAAAATAAAAATAAAAAAGTCAAAATGGATGAAAGATTTAAATGTAAGCCGTGAAATCATAAAAATCCTAGAAGAAAACACAGGGAGTAAAATCTCAAATATTCAACATAGAAATATTTTTGCCAATATCTCACAAAGCACTGGAAACAAAACAGAAAATAAACAAATGGGACTACGTCAAATTAAAATGCTTCTGTACAGCTAAAGAAACCATCAGCAAGATAAATAGGGAACCCGCTGTATGCAAAAACACTTTTGTCAATGATACATCTGACAAGGGTTTAATCTCCAAAATATAAAAAGAACTGATACAACTCAATGCCAGAAAATGAACCCCCCAATTAAGAAATGGGCAAAAGACCTGAACAGACACTTCTCCAAAGAGTACATACAGGGTGCCTTTAGACATATGAAAAAAATGCTCAACGTCACTAAGCATCCGAGAAATGCAATTTAAAACCTCAATGAGGTATCACCTTACACCTTGTCAGGCTGGCTCTCATCAATAAATCAACAAACAAGTATTAGCAAGCTTGTGGAGAAAAGGGAACCCCAGCACACTGTTGGTAGGAATGCAGACTAGTGCAGCCACTGTGAAAAATATGGAGATACTGCAAAAAATTAAAAATGAACTCCCTTTTGATCAGTAATTCCACTTCTAGGAATATATACCAAAGATCCCAAAATAACAATATGAAAAAATATATGCACCCCTTGTTTACAGCAGTGCTGTTTACAAAAGCCAAGATTTAGGAACAGCCTATCAGGAGATGAGTGAATAAAAAAGCTGTGGTAAATTTCCACAGTGGAATGCTATGCAGCAGTGAGAAAGAAGAAACTTTTACATTTTCTGACAGTATGGATGGACCTGGAGAAAATCATGCTAAGTTAATTAAACCAGTCAGTGAAAGAAAAATACCACATGCTCTCACTTATATGTAAAATCTAATAAATACAATAAACCAACAAACAAAATAGCAACAGGCGCTTAGATTCATACAACTGACTGATAGCTGCTACAAAGGATATGTGGGGACAGGATAAAAGATGGTGAAGCAATTAACCAAAGAACATTTATACACAACCCACGGACAGGGACAACAATATAGGGATCAGCTTGGGGTTCCAATGGGGAGAGGGTGGGGCTTAGTGGAGGTGGGGAAAGGGAGAAAGAGTGGTAACAACTGTAAGGGCATAAATAATAAAAAAATAAATTAAAAAAGGAAGGTAAATGATGGCCATGTAAAAAAAAAAAAAGAATTGCCCTGGCTGGCATAGCTCAGTGGATTGAGCGTGGGCTGCGAACCAAAGTGTCACAGGTTCGATTCCCAGTCAGGGCACATGCCTGGGTTGCAGGCCACGACCCCCTGCAACCACACATTGATGTTTCTCTCTCTCTCCCTCACTTCCCTCTCTAGAAATACATAAAATCTTTAAAAAGAAAAGAATTGTTGATCAACAGATAAATAAGTACTAGGAAACTCTCAGCAATTCTTATCCCATTAACCTTTTTTCCCAATCCCCTTATCTACTCCTTCTCCTTATAAAAAAGTTGGCTTGAGATGAAATGTTAAGACGGCTTTTGAGGGTACATAACCTGCCGTCTCTCAGATTACTGGCATCTGAATAAAGCACCCATAAAGATTCGAACCTTAACTCTCCTTATTGGTTTTGGTACTGACAGGCAGCATGAACTTTTCCTGTTTCAGTGGGATCTGAAGTTAAGGAAGAGAATCAGAAGGAATTTTTTTCCTTTTTCCTGTATTTTGCAAATCCATCACAAAAGGAGGGAGGTGTTAAGATCACTGGTAATGAGACAAAAACAAAGGCAGACAAATAAATGCAAGTTAAACTTTCAGAAGGAATGAAAAATAAACTTCATATGCTCTTAGCCTATTAATATGGGGCTGTAACCTCCCAAACAACAAGGATGAAAAACTCATCAACAAACTTTAAACCACAAAACTGAAGAGAACAGGGGAGTTAATGAGACATTTTAAGAAACTGGGACCCAGGGAGGTGAAGTTAAGAGATGGGATATGACATAGGACACACTACTGCGTACTGTGCTGTTATTTATAGTTAGGTTTCATTACAACCTGGGAGTAACTGAAAGCGCTAGGCACTTCAGTTATATTTGACTCGTCCTTGCTACCCTAACCACTCAAATTATCCTTATTAGCAACAACAAGAAAAAAGTCAAATTATTTCAAGTTATTTTAAGTGCAATGGGCCGGCATGGAAGTGCAAAGCGGTGAACAGCTTGCAGTTCCAACTGGCCGGCCTCCACACAAGGCAGGAGTAGGGCGCCAAGGATGGGGGTGGGGGCTGCCTAGTCTAGTGGGACAGCGTTTCATTTTTTCCGAGGCTGGGGGTGCCCAGCGGAGCGAGAAGCCCCCAACGCTCAGGACCGCCCGGCCTAGGCCCCACGGCGAAGCCCAGAGCCTTAGGGTCCCCTTCCTCGGAGTCCTGCTGCCCAGCCCAGGCCGACCCGCCTCCACTCGCTAGAAACCACTTACCGCGCGCCAGCGCCTAGGAGAAGGGCTGCCAGACTAACAGCTCGGCGGCGACAGCGTCACCATCGAGCCCAGCGGATAGAGCGGCTCTTCTGACTTCCGGAGGAAGTGAAAACAGTACCGGAAGTCTAGGTGCGGGTCAAAGGGGGTGTGCTCTCCTAAGCTAATGGCGGGGTTCTTGCTGGGGTCGGGCCGGATCTTGCGGATTCCGGGTGGTCAGCTTTGGCTTCTCTTGCCTCGCAGTTTTGGGGGTTGGGTCCCAGCAGATGGGACCGGGAGGGTCTTAGTGAGGCAGGTCTGTGCGCGGCGAGAGAACGAGTGTCGGGCCTTGGGGCTCTCAGGCAGCTTCCTGGGATGCCGGCTGCTGAGCACCGCCATGCCGCCACCTCCGGGGACGTCTGGACGCGAAGGGAAGGGCCCCAGAGACCCCACGCGCCCCTCGCAGCCTGGGGTGAGTGCACACCTGGAGCACTTCCTTTCCTCGTTGCGGCCTTCCCATCCCACTTGGTCGTAACTTCAGAAATCACTCGGTCTGGCCTTAAGTTGTCCGCGATTCGGCCTGGGTCAAAGTGTCAGGTTTTCTTAGAGGTCTCAACCTGACATTTACCATTATTGAGGATTCGGAGCAGTTTTATAATTTCGGACCCTTGGGTTTTCTTCAGGAGTTCTGTGTATACGTTGAAACTGTGCAAAATATGGATCTTAATTTCTTGCCGGATATGCCTTTTTTGGGGGTTTCTCTCAGGTTCTAGTCCTGACCCGAAAAGAATCGAAGAGCCACTACCTTTTAGTTGATAAGTAAGAGAAATGGTTTTCGGAGCTGGGAGAAGGTTAATGAGTTAGGCCTAGGTGTCTGGCATGTTACCTTGGGATTGAAAAGACTACAAAGAAATAATTTGATGCAACTTGCAAGAAGCTCCCCTTTTAGATCTCGTCTACCTTGCCTTTGTTACTTTGGAAGCCAGAATGACGTTAACTTCCCAGATTTTATTTGGTTTATTTATATTCACAATACGAACATATGTAGGTAACTAACTGGTTTTTAAATCAACAGTTGGGATCAGGGTCACACGTGGTGTAACAGTCAGGTACTTGAGCTTTGAGTCGCTTTTTTCCCTTGAAAAGAAATTGACTTAGCGAACTTTCCCTTGGAAACGTGCCTTTGTAATTATGTCAGAGCTCAGGTGCAGCTGCATCCACAGAACCTTTCAGTATTTTCTCACCCTAAATAACATGAAACGTTCTACACACTTAACAATATCAAGGCCTCTGTGTATATATATTTAAAACAACAATAAGTCGAGTATGAGTAAATGTCTGCATCGTACTACTTCTTTTATTTTTGAAATTTCTGACCCAGTAGCCTGTTTCCTGGAAGTCTTTGGCAGTCACATTTGCTATTGGAGGAGCTTTACTGGCAGGGATGAAGTACTTCAAGAAAGAGAAGATGGAGAGTAAGTAGATAATCATTTGGTCAGCTCTTAATAAAATCCTTCCTAATAATGGACCAGCATCTTTTTGTCATTTTTAGACTTTCTGTCTTGAAATAATTTTAGGTTTGCAAGAGTTGTAAATATGGCGTAGAGATTCCCCACATACCTTTCACCTAGCTTCCCCTAATGTTAACATGTATAGATCCATGAAAACTAAGAAATTAAAATTGGTATAGCAGTACTCACTACAACCACACACTTTATTCAGATTCCACCTGTTTTTTCCATTGCCTTTTATCTGTTCCATGTTCTAGTCCAGGATAGCGCTGTCTAACAGTATGAAATGACTTATTTGTGGACAGATTGGAGAATGGGTAGTACGAAGCCCAGAGGGTATGAAGATGACCAAGATGCAGTCCAGCCACTGAGATAGGGAAATAGGCACAAAAGTAACATTTTACTAGATGAGGTTCTGTCAGGCCAGGTGGAAGTTCAGGGGGCTCTGAGGACCAAAGGAAGGCCCAGCCTCTACTGTAGACCAGCAGAGGGAAAAAGGCCAAGGCTGACAATGGAGAACGGGGAGAGAGGAACTGGGTACAGGAATGTTGGAAGTGCTTTGGATAGACACTTGCAGTATTCAGAAACTGTTTACAGGAAGTTTATATTTTAGTGAATATTCTGGGACTTTTAAGATGTCGTTTAGAAGTTTTCAGTAAAACTTTGAAGTATCACTTAAATCTGCTTTGATTACTTTAGAGTCTTTTCTGATGCCTTTATACAAAGGATAATGTTTAAATCTGGGAATGAGAATTCATAGGTTTTAGAACCTTAGCAATATAACGTCCATATTGGTCCTTTTGTATAACTAAAAGTATTTTGATGGAACTTTTGTATTGTAATAATCAGTTAAATTCCTTTAGTTTTACAATGAAACAACTGAGAAGCTAGGAAAGTGGTGATAGAGACACTTCTGGCAAATGCAAGCTTCTTTTGACTTTAGTTTGGAATTTCACCTACAATTAATAATATTTTACTAAAAATGTATTATGATACAATATTAGTATTAACTTAGTGTTCCTAAATCATTTGATAGTATTTGCTGACATGATGCCTCATCATTTCCAAATAGTTTATTGCAGGGTGTCAAACTCATTTTCACTGAGGGCCACTTCAGCCTTGCAGTTGCCTTCAAAGGACCGAAATAATTTTAGGACTGTATAAATGTAACTACTCCTTAACTGTTAAGGAGTTGAAATTACATTTGTCCCTTTAAAGACAACCACATGGCTGATGTCGTCCCCAGTGAAAATGAGTTTGATACTTCTGGTTTATTGTGTATTTCTCCAACATAATCAATACAGCCATCAAAATCAGGAAATTAACATTGATATGTTACTATTGTTCAGTGTTCAGACCTCATTCAAGTTTTGCAGCCTGATGCCTTTACAGCAAAAGTCCAATTCAGAACTACACCTCATACCTAGTTAGTCTTAGTCTCCTTCAGCCTGTAACAGGTTTTCAGTCTTTACTTGACTTTTAAAACCTGGTATCAGCCATTTTCCCAAAAAGCCCCATTTCATTTTTATGGAGGATGATATTTAGAAGTCAGGGTATTAGTTCATTGTTACTGGGGTATGTCTGCTCCCAGGTCCTCTGAGTAGATAGAACTATGAAGGATACACACACCCCATAAGTTCACACCATACCTCCAGTTTTTTTCCAGTATTACACGGTTCTTTCTAGTTTTCTTTCTTTCCGTTGGTCTACCTCTCTGTCCATTTGTAACTCTCTTATCTCTAATGTAACGAAGATCCCACAGCCACTGTCCCCTCCCCATGCAGCTGCTTTCAGCACACTCAGGCTCAGATGTCAGTGCCAGCCCCCATCTTCCCCACCTGGGCTTAGAAATCCCGCACAGCTGTGCCCCCGTCCCACCCCCAACATGGCACATCTATTGGCTTAGGACTGCATTGTTCCAGAAGAAGAAGAAATCTTTTTTACCATTTCTTACAATGTTTACTATATAATATAGCAATTATTTTAATTTGATTTGATTGTTTTATGCTTATTTTCCTTAAAAGAATTTTTAAGCTTCTTGAAAACAGACTATTTCTTCTGCATTTTATACCATCATCAGCATAGTAAAATCATATAGCAGGCATTTGAGTACCTGTGGTTAATTGACTTTCCTTTTATTTGGCATGTGTATTTGTGTCTGTTTAAGAGCTAGAGAAGGAACGGCAGCGAAGCATTGGAAAGCCTCTGCTTGGGGGACCATTTTCCCTCACAACTCACACTGGAGAGCCAAAAACTGATAAGGACTACCTGGGTCAGTGGGTGCTCATTTATTTTGGTTTCACTCACTGCCCTGATATTTGTCCAGAAGAACTAGAAAAAATGATTCAAGTCGTGGATGAAATAGGTAAGAAAGACATCACTTATGTATATGATAACTTCATGTTACTATGCTTTTTACATTCTTGAATTACTGTTAGGTGGAGGGTCATAATTATTTGGTTTGTGAGAACATAAGATATCAGTGTTAGGTTTGTTCATTGCTTAGATTCCCATGACCTGTAAGTTCTCCACGAAAAGAAACTTGTTCTGATACTAAATGCATTATTAGGTTGCTTAAAAATGTCAGTGTAGTCTGGGTCTCCCTTACCTCTGCTTTGTGTCCCTTCCTTTCTTGTGGCCTTCCATCACTGACACCACCATTGCCCTCTCCCAGGTGACTGGTTTAGACAGTGAAATCTGTAGGATGGTGTCTGAAGTATAGTCAGGGGCATTTGTTAGGACCAATAAGAAGATAGGGCACATCCTTAAAATGAATTGTTCCAGGATATTCAGTTCTTATGAATAGTTTACCCTGCTCTTGAGGTATGGTTGGGGCTGGGGGTACAACCTACAAATATTGGATTGGGTTAGGAAACAAGACACTCATATGGTGTGATTCAGGTATCGGCATGAACTATATATACACTGGTGCGGGTGTTTGGTGGGTTATTTACCTGATTCTACGACAGGTAACAGATGGACCTGTTCCTTCTGAAGGCCATCCCATCCCCTTCCCTGTCGTCACATAATGCCAGTGTTAGTGTGCCCTTGTGTTTCCTTAATGCCTCGCTGTACCAGTTACTATACTACCTATTGTAGTTGCTGGTTTTCTTTGTCTTTTCCCTTGGAGTGTGAATAGTGACTGACAAGAACTTTCTTTCAGATAATATTCCAACTCTGCCAAATTTAACGCCACTTTTCATCACTATTGACCCAGAGAGGGACACAAAGGAAGCCATTGCAAATTATGTGAAAGGTTTGTTTCATTAATAATACCTTATATCTGTTTAGCTCTACAGTTTGTGAAAGGTCAACTCATGCTAACCATCTAATGCCTTGTGAAATGGGGGGGACAAATGTTATAACCAGTTTCACAGACAGATAAAAAGATGAGGCTCAGAGTGTGACTGTGGCTGATAAGTAAATAAATAAAAAAACCAGGTTTCTTAATTCCTGGTGCAGGGAGGGCTCTTTTTATTTTGTCACAGTGGAAGACCCAGACTTGGCCAACAAAGTTCATAGGTCAACAAAGTTAATAGAGACTTGAACTGAGAGCAAGGACACATCGCTTCCAATTCTGGCTCTGTGCCTCATTCTCTCCTTTGTAAAATGAGTGTGCATGCGTTCTGGGAGTGTGTGCATTGGAAGATTAAAAATAAATTCTGTGTACATACATTTTGAACTCAGCACATATTTTATTGTATAAACCCAAAACATTCGTTATGACAGAAACACATTCCTGTTAATGGAAGAATTTCAATTCAAACATCTCACCATGCAGGTTTAAACCTATTAGAAGGTACTTTTAAAGACTATAAATTATGGTAGAGTTAAAGATGAAGATTTAGGTGTCATAAGCTTCAGTGAGTTGCTTAATTTCTCTGGATTCAAGTTTTTTTTTCAGCTGGGTGCTTAAAAATCAGGAATTTAAATTTTCATTATGGTGAAATCGATTTAAACTATTGGACAGTGAATAGTTTTATATCTATATTTATTATATGACACATTCTAATGCACATATCCTCCAAAGCTTTGCAGGTATTTTTAAAACGTGCCTTGTGAAAGACCAGCTATGTATTTATTATACAACAAATTTATTGTAATGTAATTAACATAAAGTATACATATGTTACCTTTTGACATGTAGGCACTGGGAAGCCATCATCACAATAAAAAAAATGAGCCCCCATCACCCCCAGCAGTTTCTTGGTGCCTTGCCAACCCTTCCCTTCTGCCCCTCCACTTCACCCATCACCTCCACTGATCTGCTCTCTGCCGGTACAAATTAATTTGCATTTTCTAGAAGTTTATGTAACAGAATTATAGAACTTTTAATAGAAATTCTTTTATGTAATAGAATTATATGTATTTTTTAATGGCTTCTTGCAGTATAATTATTGCTAGATTCTTCCATGTTGTAGAATATTATAGACTAGTTCATTTATTTTTATTGCCAAGTAGTATTCAGTTTTTGACTATTACAAATAAAGCTGCTAAGAGCATTCAGATGCAAGTCTTTGTATGAACACATGCTTTTATTTCTCTTGAGTGAAATATCAAGGAGTGGAATAGCTAGATCATATAGTAAATCTGTGTTTAACTTTTTAAGAAATGACAAACATTTTTCCCAAAGTGGTTATACATTTTTACATTCTTACTGTTGGTACACAGAGTTCCAGCTCCTCCACATCCTTGCCACACTGGATATGGTCAGTTAGTAGTCTTTTTAAGTTTAGCCACTTCAGTAGATATTTAGTGGTTAGGTACCTTATTGTGGTTTTAATATGCATTTCCCTAATGTTAAGTATCTTTTTTTTATAAAGATGTTATAGATTTACTTTTCGAGGGGAAGGGAGGGAGAAAGAAAGGGATAGAAACATCAATGTGTGGTTTCCTCTCAAGCACCCCCAATTGGGGACCTGGCCTGCAGCCCAGGCATGTGCCTAGACCTGGGGTAGAACCAGCAACCTTTTGGTTTGGGGGAGGATGCACAACCCACTGACCCACACCAGTCAGGGCTAATTCAGGGCTAATTTCTCTTCATTTACTCATAGAGTGGAAGAGAAAGACAAGCTGTCTTGCTCTTTCAGTACCTGAACAGTTTTTCAGTTTAGAATAAATTAGTCCAAGGAGTGATAGAGGCTTCCTCTACCTTTAGTAGATGGTACTGCTGTTAAATGTCAGACTGTCACTTTAGTAGGCTGATGTATCCAGGTGTTTTAAGTGAGTTTCACCAGCTAACTTATATAAAGTCCAAAAACTTAACCGCAAATGCATGCTATGAGATTATTTGCTGGAAAACGAGATACAGATATTTTGACTTGGTATGAACTAATTATGCAGCAAACTTTTTCCTTACATAGTAAAACCTATAGTGTTTAATTCATGATTATATGTTTAAACTTCAGCATATTTTAGAACTACATCTAAATATTTGAAAACAGCTAAATTAATAAAAAGTAATTTAAATAATTAGAATACATTCCCTCTTTACTAGATAATCGTGAAAGGATTTGACTGATAGATTACTAAGAACCAATTTTTGGTTTCATTGATCTTTTCTATTAATATGCTATTTTTAGTTCCATTGATTTTTGCTCTAATTTTTTTTTTCTGCTTACTTTGGGTTTAATTTGCTCTTTTTTTTCTCATTTCCTAAGGTAGAAACTTATTGATTTTAGATCTATTTTTTTTCCTGCTGTAAACATTCAATGCTATAAATTTCCCTCTTAAGCACTGCTTTTGCTTCATCCCACAGATCTGGGTAGGTTGTATTTCCATTTTCATTTTTCAAAATATTTTTTACTTTCTCTTGAGATTTCTCCTTTGACCTATATGTAACTTAGAAGTATGTTTTTGCAGATTTTCCAGATATTTTTGGTTACTAATTTCCAGTTGAATTCCAGTGTGACCTACATATAACAAAGGAGAATTTTCATTTGTTCTGTGTGAATTTACTTTCTTTTGAATCATGAGGAAATGTTTAGGGGCTCACAGGAAGGCGGTGACAGTAGTGTCACTATAGAACTGATATTGCTTTTTGATGTAGGCATGGTTGTTTTGTGTGCTTCTCATTTCTCACTGTCTTTCTTATTTTTTATTTAGAATTTTCTCCCAAACTGGTTGGCTTGACTGGCACAAAAGAAGAGATTGATCAAGTAGCCAGAGCATACCGAGTATATTATAGCCCAGGCCCCAAGGACGAAGATGAGGACTACATAGTAAGTAAATGCCCACATTTCAGCCCACAGGCCCGCCGCTCTCAGACCCCAGATGTTCATACATCTTTGAGTGAGGACTGGCTTCAGCGGTAAAGGAGAACCTGAGGTTATTGCAAATTCCTTGGGAATTATAGGTGTTTGAAAGTAGAGAAGTATAATTTTTTTAAGGATGCTTGTTTAATATATATTCACTGTTCCCATAATTTAATTGCCTGTTTTTTTTTCTAGTGACACATAAAAGTATAGGGCAGTATAAAATCAGTGGTGCCTTAGAATCAGTGGGATATAGTACTTGGATACCACGTTGGAAATAAAAAGAAGCCATCATTTTGAAGCAAAGCTTACTTTAGTTTTTATAAGCCTTGTATTGGTTCTCTCTTTGTCCCCTATGAAGAGGTCAAAGAAACATGCTCCTTTTGAGAAGCAGTTGTTAGGCCGTTAATAACTGTATTTTGGGGTTAAATGAATAAGAATTCTGAAAATCAAGAAAAAGGAAAGCCATAGACAGGTAGACTCTCTGTAAGTTGTATTTTCATATCAACTATATGCTTTGCATAATTAGGCATTTAATAGGTGCTTTTTATGATGAAGAACAGAAATTCCATTAAGTGGCCCCTCTGTGGCTTGGGCATCAGCACTGCCCCTGTAGCCCTCGGCTGATGCCCGGCTTCCTTTGTTCCTGCTGCGGTCAGAGGTTTTGCAGTGAAGCACCAACTGAAGGCGTAAGCACTGCCCTGTCCCGTTGTCTTCTCAGTGGTCATTCTTTCCCATCACATTGAGAGTTGACACTGTGTTTTAGTATCACTTCCATTCTTTTCTTCAGCTGTGCTCTGGTTTCTGTATTATAGTGGCTGGAGAAAGTGATGAATCAGAAGAGCTTTTTCACCTGCAAAACTAGTTTTATGGAAAGAAAGATGACAAAGACCCCGAGTCATTGGTCTGCCAGCTACACCATGGCTAGTTTCCAAGAGCAGCATACTGAGGATCTACAGCACACTGTAGATCCTCTGCCACCTTTGAGCCTGGAGCATGCTGTATGCCCCTGCAGCCAAGGCCTGCATTAGGCTTCTGGTCCCTTTGCTTTAAGCCTGCACTCTAATCTTGTTTTCCAGTTTAGTGCCTCATAGATTTAGGGAAACTTGGATTCATGGGGGGAGAAGACAAAAATTTGCATTTTTTTTTAAGACCTAAGTTTAAGGAAAGAGGAAACCCTACCATGGGTTCCTCTTGCTGCACTAGCAGCGTGAGAAAATGAGAGCAGAGCAGAGGGTCAAGAGAGGAGGCCATGGGCCCTGGCTGGCATAGCTCAGTGGATTGAGTGCAGGCTGCAAACCAAAGTGTCTCAGGTTCAATTCCCAGTCAGGGCACATGCCTGGGTTGCAGGCCATGACCCCCAACAACCGCACATTGATGTTTCTCTCTCTCTCCCTTCCTCCCTTTCTTCCCTCTCTAAAAATAAAATAAATAAAATCTTAAAAAAAAGAGAGAGAGGGGAGGCCATGGGAAAAGTTTTCCAAACTGCTTGACTTTTTTTGTAAAAGAGAGTTGTATTAACCAGTTTGAGTTTGGACACTGAGATTTATACTGTGTACATAATCCAGAATGTGGATGTTAATTTTTTAACCTTAAATATTGAGATGTACATATTTAAATTTAAGTCTTATGGAGACTTCTTGGACCCTCTAGAAACCATCCCATACTCCTTTTAGAGAAAAGGTGATCGCCCACTGTAAGAATTTGACATTTGATAAGAATCAACATGTAGTTCATTGCTCTACATTTGCTGAGTCAGCCAATAGGGGGAGACACCCTCCAGCTTCTTGGTTTATCATTAGTATGACGTCTGTCCCTTGAGGCCACAGATTTTCATCCACAAGATTTTCCCACTAAGATTGTGTGGGAAACTTCTGTTGAGATTTAAGTGAGGGAATACCTTGAAGGTTGAGAGGTAATGAAATGAGGTTTTCTTAATCTGAAAAAACAACAACTAAAGGTAAGCTGCCTTTTGAATGCTAGTGGAATCCTCAGACTGGTTGTGTATGTCAGCTGGGCACACCAAGCATTTAGGATTCTGCAGAAAGCTAAATGGGCACGTCATTGCATTTTTTATATGTGTGTGTATATATATGTATATATACAGAAGATTACATTATTTTGTAAGCATTAATTATAAATTATTTTTGACAAATAACTATAAATGGTTTTTAGACCTAAAGAAAATGATGTTCAGTTTCACTCATAATAAAAGACATGTGATAATGTGATGCCATTTTCACTTTTAAATTAGCAAAGATCAGAAGTTTGAAATACGTTGTCAAATAGAATTTGGGAAAAGAGGAGCTGCACGGCTGAAGCGAGACACAAGCACGCACAATCCCTAGGGACGCCCTTTTGAAGGGCGGCTCCTCTGCGTCTGCCGGCATTTAAAGTGGAATACTTTTAGGTTAGAGATCCTCCTTTTTGGAATTTACCCTTCAGGTATAACCTACAACATTGTTTATAAAAAAGACTGAAAACCAAACAACGATTTTTTAAAAGGTTACTCTGTATGTGCTGATGTAGAACAATGCCCAGCGTATCATTAAGTGAGAAAACGAGTACAGTGTATTGTTACTTGTGTGCAAAAAGAAATAGGTGACAGATGGTAACAGAAATCAGTGGCTATAAACTCACACTGGTAAGTGCAGGGAATTTCCCCAGGAGAACACAGAAAGGGCTGGCAGCTGGTTCCCTTTGAGCGGAGAACTGGGGACTCGGCGCATCTGGCAGGGGAGGAGGACTTTCATAGTATAAGTTCATTGTATATTCTTTTGTCCTTTTTTATAAGCACATGTTACCTTTTCAAAAATTGAAAGTTGTGGTGATATCAAAAGATTGTGGATTTTGAAATTGGACAGATTTAGATTTTAAACGTAAGTCTGGTATCGACCAATTATTTAACTACCTTCTCGAGCCTGTTTTGTCAGTTGTAGAGGTGTACAATACCTATCTTCTGGGTTAAGATGTCACATGAAGAGCTGCTCAGTAAGTGCTAGCTTTTTCTCTGGGAGGAACTACAGGAACTTGAAAGTGCTGTGTACTAGAAACATGACAGTTTGCTCTGCCCACACCCCAGTGGACAGTGAGGCCTGACCGTTGACAAGTTTGACATAAATGGATAGAACAGTATTTTTATTATGTATTAGAAAGTAATTTATACTAAGAACACTCATAAAATTAGCCCAGTACACTGAAATTGTTTTCAAAGGAGAGAGTAGAGAAAAGAAAGAAAGAGAGGTGTAAGCTACAGGGTAAGGTTTGAACATGAACTGGAGACCGAATTCTGACCTGTGTATTGCCGACGTGTGGAGAAACGTAGATCCCAGTCCTGCTCCGGCACTAGTGATTCCAGGACATGAGCTCACCAGCTGTTTGAGCTCCGGTGTACATTCTTTCCTTATGGGAGTGGGCAGGTGACTCTTTCCATTTGCTGTGTCTTTACGAATGTGTGTATATAAAGAAATAATTACCTCACAGGCATCTGATGTGTGTTCGGGTCTATTTGGGGGATGTCTACAGTTTGGCATGCACGATCACATTCCTGTCTTTCAGTCTTGCCAAGTAGCAATCAAGCCTGCAGTGAATTCCAAGGAGTCTAAATTCCAAATCCTCTGCTCATTTAAAATTGGATTTTGTGGAAGCATGTAACTAAAAAAGACTGATGACTAATCTAAACTTAAGGTAGAGCTAGGAATGTTTTAACTTTGCCTCAAAAATGGATAGTGGATTTCAGATGATTCCTTGGAGGTGTAGCATTTGGGGCTCCTCAGGAGTTTCCTGGTGATTGCTTTGGGTAGGATTGTAACACTTATTTTCATGTTTCCCTTGATATTACTAATATCAGGACTAAGTACTGTGTTAGAATTTAATAAATTATATATTTAGTAGGTGGTTTTGGCTTTCATCAAATATGGGAAGCAGACTTTAGGTGGTAATGAATGACAGACAACCCATGCTTCCCAAAACGAAGGACCACACCCAAGAACATATTGAAGAAAGTGATTTCTCCCCATTGCGTTTGACTTCATGCAATATGTCTTTATAACATGGTTAAGGGGTCAGTGAAATATTTTACTCACAAATGTCAGCCCCTCCGCAGCAAGCATTGTTGTTCCACAGCATTGACTGCTGCATGGAGGCCAGCAGCAGCTGTTTCTTAGAAGTGGCTTCTTTTCTCAGAGATTGGGTGGATGAGTGTGTTACGGATTGAACACAAAGAAGGCCAGAATCTAGCTGCTGTTTCAAGCAATGGTCAGTGCAGGTTTCTAGAACACAAAAGATTTTAGATGATTTGTCACTGTGAATTTGCTGTAATAGGCTTAGACCCGTTCCATAAGTAATAAATGCCACAAAGATTATTTAAGCATTAATGTGAAGTTCTCTGATCCTGTAGGATTTATTCGGTAAACTAAGCTGCTTATTTTGGTAATCTTTTTATCATCTCACTCCCCCCCCCCCTTCTTTGCAGGTGGATCATACCATCATAATGTACTTGATTGGACCAGATGGTGAATTTCTAGATTATTTTGGCCAGAACAAGAGGAATGCAGAAATAGCAGGTTCAATTGCTGTGCATATGAGGGAGCACAGGAAAAAGAGCTAGCTGAAGCAGCGTTGCCAGTTAAGTGTTCTTCTGCTAAACAGGAAGGAAGCTTTGTCTCCCGCAGGAGACAACATATACATATGCTTATATATGCAACCTACAGAATGGCCTTCATACCATGAGAACATCTGTATTTTGGGTAGGGCACACTGCCCTTGGGATCAGCCAGAACTGATTCTTAGAACTGTGAAGATTACAACCAAAAGTCTACCAAAGCCACTGCAAGACTGGAGGACCAAGTTAATGTGAAGCCAGTGGAGTGGACCTCGGGAAAGGACACTCCAAGAGAGGCACAGCCCATGCGTTTCCACATGTGAGCAGGGCCCTTGGATCAGCATTACTACCTCGGTGTCTTGGACCCTTGCTCATACAAGTTGTGGGGCTGAATTTCCAGGACTCTGATTTCCACAGCACTGTTGCTTCCCCTTTGAGGATTGGTGGCTGATACATTAGCCTCTCTGCCGTTTGCAGTTAAGCTTTATGCTTGAAAGCATGAGTCTAGACTTCCTTGTTAAGGAATGTCACTGTCAGGCTTGCATTGCATTCTCGTATCAGCAGGTGCTGATTTGACTAATGAAGAGGGAATCTATTGTTTGGGGAAAACCATTAGATTATTCTAGGGATCTTTTATGGGATTTTTGGCCAAATGATGTGCTAGGTTTTCAGTGACATACCAAATGGGAACGAAGGGATACTGATCATAAATGTGATGCAGAGTACTTTTCTGTCTATACAGGATTGCACTGTGTGAAAAATAAATGTCTGTGCAGTTTTGCAACTCGGACAAGCGTGACTTTTCTCGGGGGTAAAGAGTGTGGGTGGATGGCAGCACACAGCTCTCAGGGTGGACACCCACAGATGGGAGTGGCCGGGGAGGTAGGTTCCCAGGCCCCGAGCTGGAGTCTCAGAATCAGGTAGGATGCAGAGACCTGTGTTCCTGACAGACATCCAGAGAGTCTTGATGCTGGTGGCCTGGGACTGTGCCTTGAGAAACTTGTGTGAGGAAACAAGGTTTTGATCTGGCTGAGTGAAGACTGGATCCATCATTTGGTGTGCCAGTTAAAGTGTTGTGCACACAGCCAGGAAATGATTGTCGAGTGATGGAATGACTCGACTTTTTTTCTGAATTTCACATGTTCCACCTACAGCTGCTGCAAGAGCAGAGTTCTCTGAAAGTTTTTCAGTGGGTAACCCTAACCCTAACCCTACCACAGCAGGTCAGACCACAGATTCTCTTTGCTGATCAGTTTGGCTTGTTTCATGCACATGTAAAACCTAACTTTTGGGTTTTAAGTGTCTTCTTAATATCTAGTTAAACCTACTATAAAGACATGTCAAAATATGTGAAAAAGAAAAATCATGAACTCTAGTGGTTATGGACTGAGTTGTGTCCCTGAAAATTCATACCTAACCCTAACCCTAACCCTAACCCCCAGTGCCTCAGGACATGACTGTGTTTGGAGACGGTCTTTAAAGAGGTGATTAAGTTAAAATAAGGCTGTTGAGTGGGCCCCACTGTGACTGGAGTCCTTACAAGAAGAGATTAGGACACACAGAAGCCCACGTGAAGACACAGGCCTCCAAAGGAAACCATTCCTGCTGACACCTTGATCTGGGACTTCTGGCCTCCAGACTAAGAAAATGTCTTGTTTAGGCCTCCAGGTCCATGGTTCTTTGTTACAGCAGCCCTAGCAAACTACTTCAGTGGCTGTCCTTTCTTGGGGATGGCTACTATAGTCCTTAATAAATATCATTAATAAACAGCTACAAGATTGGTGGTAGTTTATATAAGCTTGAATGCCTTAGCTAGACACCTTGTCAGGAAGGTGAGGAACTTACTAAAAGACTAGTCACACAGTAGCAAAGAAGATACTAAGTATCTACAATGCCAGACATTTTGGAAGATGGTCTGTTTTAAGCCACTATTTGTGTGGATCACTTCTGCACAAGCTGGCTTTCGATAAGATTGTCCTCATTCTCAGCTGCTGTAGGCTAGAGCTTGTGTAATGGTCCAGAAAGGGCACAGCCGCTTTTGAAGAAACCTTTGATTTGCTCCTCATCCCGGTGTCAAGTTTAAAGGCTTAGGATCAGGATGTCAGAAGCAGGGAAGGGACCTCTGAGGTGACGTCCAAATTGCTGTATATGTTAGAAGACAGTCCCAGGGATTAAGGGGTGGCCCTTCTGAACCTAAATTAGAATTCAGGTCCCAATTTCTAGTCAAGTCCCTGCTCATGCCACTGCTGTGGGGTGCTTACATAACCATATGAATCCCAAATGGGGGTGTTGTGTGCTGGTAGGGCATCCTTTTGACTGAGTGCTGAAAAATGGAAATCAAAGCTGCCTTTCAACAATGTCTCACGCGCACATCTTTCCCTGGCTGGGTTTGGGTTTTCTTTCACTGGACCCTTCAATGGAATTAATAAATGTTGTTTGCTTATTTGAGAATTACAAGAATCTTATCTTCGGTTGGCACGCAAGTACTTAATGCGCCCAGCTGTCTGTGAGGCAGCTGGTATCTCAGGCATAAGAGCCGAGATGCACTGAATACCAGTAAGACACACATGCGAGTGGGGAGGCTCATGTGAACCCAGTGAAGTGATTTGAAATTGTCAAGGCATCTGTGTAAGATATTATAAAACCTTTCTTGTTTTAAATATCAAGTTAAAAATATTTCAAATCACTCATAATCCCCCAAATAACTTACCTTTTTTTGCATATAGCACTATTTACATTGTGTGTATGAGTTAAATTTAAAAGAACAGTTACACAAGCCTATTTTGTCCATCTAGTTTCCATTTTTTACTCATAGTTTTGAAGAGCATTACTGAGTAATGACATGAGTAGGTATTCCTACTTATTAATGACATGCAGTTAACAACCTCTTCACTCATATGTTCCTTAATAACACCTTTAGAACTTAGGAGATAATTATTTTCTATTCATTTGAAAGTATATTTTAAAGTGTATTTGTTCTTCTCTCATACTTATATTCTCAGAAAATTTGTAATATACAGAAAATTTGAAGGAGGAAATTTTAAAGTCACCATTGTTTCACTACCAGGAAACAATTTTTGGATGCATTTCCTTTCAATTCTCAACATTTAAGAATCTTTTATTACTCCAGAAATTCACAAATTATTCCTTTAAACACATTAGACATGACGGATCAAGCTCAAGTTTCCTTGCTCCTCACTCCCCACCCTCCTCAGGAACTGCTGTCTAGTGGTGGGTGTGTATCTGCTTAGGCTGTTTCTGGCTCAGGGTATGCGTGTTGAGTTAAAAGTTTTATTACCACGGCTAGCACATATTTTGCTCAGTTTTTATGTGACTTATTTTCATTATATTTTTGTATATTTTTTATATTATTGAATCTGGTAACTATTGAAGGCAGCCCAAAATAACCCCCTTTTCCCTTGCCAAGTGTAGGTGCCTGATTAGAGAAAAAATGTATCTGCAAGGCAAACTTCAGCGGCCCCTCCCCCACCATGGACACACATCCATTGATGATGACAACATGCTGTTGGATAAACTTCCTTCTCTGAGAATGGCCATGTGGGGTGGGGAGCACACTGCCAGGGTCCTTGGAATTGGCAGAACACAGGTGCTCCCCTGCAGGGGTGAGTAGGTGAGCACCGTGCACATGCAGGCTGTGCTCTGGACCATCGCGCACTGTTGCTCCTCAGGAATCCATTGCACTGAAATCAGCCTGCTGCCTAAGCTAACTTCTCGCTACCTGGCTTAGGTTACCTGTAACCTAGAACACTATCAGTACTGTCGTCAGGGGTCAGTGTCATGCTCAGGCTTCAAAGCAGTGTGAAGGAACACCAGCACATGCTCAGTAACAGATGGTCGCCATTACTTTTGGTGATTTGGAGCTTGCTTAACAAAGGTTGTCAATGAGTGGGTTTGGTTATAACAAAACCCTGCCTGTTGTCCCTCCATCACTGTTCCACTTCAGCCTGCCTTGAAGTGTGCCAATTTCTCATAGTCTCCCACATCTTCTGTGTCCCCGCCTCCAGTACACATATCTAAGCCTGGAATTCTTTGGTTGTCTTGCCTCAGTGAGCTATTTAAACCTGCTTTCTGATGCGCACCCCAGCTTGTGGGGTCCATGTCATTACGGATGAAAATGAAACACTCACACGGATTACTGAATCCAATGGAGGAAAAGGGACACCGTGGCCTTTCTCTCAAGGGGAGCAAGAGCCTTGGCCCTCTCTCCAATGAGCTTTTATTGTTTTACTGGGCACATTACAAGAAGGTCCTCATTAACTATGTGCAGGTTTCCTTTAGGTGGTTACCTTTTACAGAAAACAAAGGAGAGGATGCTGGTAATCACATCACAGAAGAGGGATATTTGCAAATGAAAAGGCAAAAGTAGTTGGACCGGTTACACTTATCCTTGGAAGGTTTAGCATGGTTTTCAGGAAGTTGCTTTGCAGTAAATGTCCTCAATTCAGGGTGAATTGAGTTTTAGCAAAAAGCAAGACTCATAGAGGCCTAGGTACCTTGCAGGCCTGATTCCCCACGGGAGAACCTATCCGTGCGCGTGGGTCCTGTGCATCTCCCAGTGGGTGCTGGGCCCACACCACGCAGAGCAGCCTCCCACAGCTTCTGTTCACCTGGCATTAAATTTAGAAACAAGTTTCTTAAAACAACAACAAAAAAACCCCATGAGGTTCAAACCAGAAACAGGCTTTTGGCTTTGAAGCAAGAACATCAGGGCAGGATTATAAACTATGAGCAGGCAGCTTGGTGGGCACAGGCCTCATGAAGCCAGGTGATTTTTGAGCAATTTAGTCCTGCTAACGAGGGATGGAATGGAATGCTCAGGACAGCAGGTGGTGAGGAGGGCTGCTGCTCTATCGCTCTGTCTGGGACTGCTGGCTTTGATGAGGGACTGTCCCTCCAGCTTTGATAGACCTGTTGCTGTCTTGCTGCTCTGATTTTCCAGGGCCTGGGTGCTGCTGCTCTGGGCCTGGTGGGTTTAATTCTGTGTCCACCTTCGCCTGTGCTCACTGGCTCACAAGGTGGTGCTTAGCTTGTCTTTGATGGGTTCAAGAACAGATCGGGGGTGAGTTTTTCCTTCTCTCAGCCCAGGACAACGAGCCTGGAGAGAAGTGTGACCCACCAGCCTGCTTGTGTGTTCATTCAGCAAGCATGCATTGCATGCCTGCTAGTGGCCTGCCCTGTCCTGTGATCTGGGGAGACAGGAGAGAACTGAACCAAGGCCCCACCCTTGTGGAGCTGAGCTTTAGGGAGGCAGACTATAAACAAGTATGTATATTAAATGAGGTCAGATAGTAAGAAGTGCTATAAAGAAAAATAAAAGAAGGCAAGGTTTGGGGCAGTTACGGGAGGATGGGTTTTAGAGTGATTATCGGTCAAGGATGGACTCCTTCAGGAGGTGGCCATTGGAAAATGGGGTGAGCCATGGCAGTACAAGGGGGTAAGCTTCCAGCACAAGGGCCAGGGGCCACATTCCACCACCAGCAGGCTCTGCTGTGAGTGTCGGGGGAGCCCTGGGAGGGCCAAGAGCAGGTGTCTGGCCTGGTCACCCGCCCGGGGTGTCACAGCGATTGTTGTCTTGATCCACACAGGTGTCTGACGGTGCTGGTGCCACCCATCCTAGGGGGTCTTAAAAGTTGCTCACCCTGTGTCCCACAGAAGAGTATCTCTGGACATTTAATTGAAAGAAACTTGCATTCTCTTTTTTTGTTGTAGGAATTTTTTAATATTTTAGGGGTAGAATAGTTTAGTAAACTTGATATGCCCATC